TTATTGCAATTAGTATTTCTTATAAATAAATATTCAAACCAAAATTGTTATCTTATTACATATTAGTGGTATATACCATTTATACCCGGTATATACCACCATGGTATATACCAGGTATAAATATGGTATATACCCCTCAAATTGTTTATAACATGTTATATACTACTACCCCCTTTATCAAAATCAATTTTGTACAATCAATGATGTTGACCTCTTCAAAATCTCCCTTTACAAGGCATTCTTTGCACCAGATCTGCCCATGTGGGAACATGCAAAGTTTGGGAGTGTAGTGTTCGTGATGACATTTACGGCACCTTATATTGTTGGTGCCATGGGTTTTGGAGCAGGTTTGTGGCATATAAAATAAGATAGAATTAAAGGTAATATAAATAAATTTTAATTCTATACTAATCAAAAAAATAAAAAATAGGCGGAATTGCAGTGGGATCTTTTGTGGCTTGGATTATGTCACTTTATAATGGTGCAGTCACATCTGGGAGCATGTGTGCGATATTACAAAGCATAGGGGCTACAGGTGGTTTCATGGTATGCTTTTTGAGGAAAAATTCATAAAAACCTATATTTACATTAAATTCTGTTATTATTATTATAATATCTAACAGAGCACTATTGCATCTGTTATAACTGGAGCTGTTGTAAGTGGCGTTTCGATGTGTCTTGAAATATTCTATGGAAAAAGCAAACTATCCAAATCTGAAGAAAGTTCATTAGAAGAGTTTCTCAAAATCAGTCAATCAAGAAATACAATTACATTTGATTTTGATACTCTTATTCGGCAAAATGAGGAATATGTAGATAAGTTTTTGGATGTCTTAATGGCTGTTGCACCATCCACGAACTCAAATATATTTAAGGTTAATAATTGTGATGATAGTTGCCTTCATGTCTTAGAAAGGTTGAGTAAAACTTATGAAGATTCAAGGGTGGATTATATTTCTAATTTGAGAAGTATTCAATTAGATATTTCAACTTTCAAACATCCTACTGTACTCCAAAAAATCATCAAAGCGTATGAGAATTGGAGCATAAAAGCATATTTTTTTCAAAATTCTGATTAAATAATATGATTTGAATATCATTTAAGATAAATGCATCAATTTTTATTGGAATTATATAAAATAATTTATATTACGTGAAACTAATTATTTTGAAAATAGCACCTACAATTTCCACTTTGTACTCGCAGTCCATAAAACCTAGCATAACCTCTCTATAGATGAAAATATTCTTGTAAACATTGCATTGAGCAGAATTAAATCTTGCAAATCTTGAAGTTTTATTAAATATTATAGGCAGATATTAAATAAATTGATTTTTATCTTGTCCATTATATTAGATCCAAGGTGAAAATTAGGTGTAGTATTTCCTTTTGCATAGCAAAATACAATAAACAATTTAAATAAACAAAGACCTCTGTATCTAATCAAATTAGACCGTTTGAGCCAACATATCACCACCCTTTCTTCCCATGTAGCTGTTAATTCTTGAGAACAAGAAATTATAGTCCAATACTACTACAATCGAAGCAATTGCTAAAACTTAAAAAAATAAAAAAGAATTTCTGAAACAAATGGAAATAAACATATAAATTATTTTATTCGTTATTTTAACAACATTCAAAACTGTGCAAATGGTAAATTTAAAGAAAAAAGGAATTCCAAAACAAATGTAATATCCCCATGGTCAAGACAATCTGGAGTTGGAAAATCAACACTGTGTGAAAATCTCCTGGATAGTTTTTGGGTTGATCATAAATGGAATGGATGTTGTAATCAGGAATGGGCAATATTTTATGGATTTTATGGATGGTTAGGTTATGACTTCATTCTAAGACTACTTGATAAAACACCTTTAACAGTAGAAATTAAAAGTGGAATTTAATTCAAAAATATCATTATTACATCTAATAAACCAGCAAAGAATGGTATAATTCAACAAATATTAATTCTTTACTATATAAAGTAGGCTACTATATGGAAACTATACTATAAACACATGTAAAGGTCAGCTCAATGTCTATAACATGTATAAATATATTGACGCAGTATATGATAATCACGTGACACAAATAATAAATATATTCGGTAACTGAGAGTGTGTAATGAAGAGTATCAACCACAAATCATATTGGACTAGTAACTTGAATAAGATGTAATTCCTTGGATTTGTTTAATGGAATAGCAAAATTCGATGGGGATACTTATGATTGATAAGCCCAAAACGCCTGAATTGGTTAATCTATGCATTGAAATCCAATATTTAGTATTGAAGAATGTTAAAGCTACAAATTGGAAAAATAAAATATCAGATGTTTTAACAAATGTTTTAAGAATAGCAAAAAACCATCATGTAAAGTCAGAAGGGGATTTTGTACATATTGTTATACCAGTATTGTTATTGGAAGGTATTGGTAGACAGATGGTCCTAATATGAATTTATTAAAAAGTTCTTTACCAAGTTTAAGAAAATTGGAGCTCAGAAAGCTAGTAAAAGAGAGATTGAGGGTATTAAAAAACACAAAATGATGATAACATTGATGGTTTATTGATATCACTCCATTGTTAAAACTCTGGATATGGTTAGAGGTTAGAAGTAATGTATTACAGGATGTTATAAAGCAATGCTTGAAATAAATATTCGATGGCCTGACATGTAATTTTCCATGAAATTTTATTAATATATATTTTATAATAATATTTATAAATCTTCAGGTCTGACATAATTCAATTCTCCATTTTCAACTATGCTTTCTCTGTTTACATCCCTTCTCAATAGTTTTCTCATATCTTAAAAAAATTTTTTACATAAAAAAAACCATTAAAATGATGCAATTTCTCCTTAAATGAAAAAATATCATATAATTAATTAAAATATTTACCATATGCATCTTCTTCACTATTATCACCAGAAGAATAATAACCA